CCTGCGAGCCGGCGGGGGATTTAAGGCGGGAATCCCGGGGGGGATCCGTGGGAGAAGGATCACTCCTGCGGCTCTTCCCGCTTTCTCTTCCCCAGGACCGGGAGCTGCGGGGGGGAGGGATCGGAGGGGGGGGGGGGGGTACTCCTGCGGCTCTTCCCGCTTTCTCTTCCCCAGGACCGGGAGCTGCGGGCGGAAGAGATCGAAGGTGAGGAGGTGGGGGGGTCTTCGCCCCGGTTGGGAGCTCCCCCGGCCGCGGCAGGGGCGTGTGGCGGTGCCGGCAGTGACGCCGCACTGTCCCCAGAGCTGAAGCAGGCCTTCCGGGAGTTCGACAAGGACCGCGATGGCTACATCAGCTACAAGGACCTGGGCGAGTGCATGCGGACCATGGGCTACATGCCCACCGAGATGGAGCTCATCGAGCTGTCCCAGCAGATCAGTACGCAGCGGGGACGCGGGGGGTCCCCTCCGCCCCGCTGGCAGCCGGCTCTGCTCCCGGCGATCCCTGGTGCCTGCCCCACTGACATCCCTCTTCTCCCGCAGCCGGGGGCAAGGTGGATTTTGACGATTTCGTGGAGCTGATGGGTCCCAAGATGCTGGCGGAGACGGCGGACATGATCGGGATCAAGGAGCTGCGCGACGCCTTCCGCGAGGTGAGGGGACGGGGGGGACGGCCCGGGCGCGGGCAGGGTGCCGGCATGCCGAGGGCGGCCGTCGCCGACGGGCGCTTGCCGTGCAGTTCGACACCAACGGGGACGGGCAGATCAGCATGGCGGAGCTGCGGGAGGCCATGTGCAAGCTGCTGGGGCATCAGCTCAACTACCGGGAGGTGGACGAGATCCTCAAGGACGTGGATCTCAACGGGGATGGCCTGGTGGACTTCGAAGGTAGGGGCCGGGGAGGGAGCCGGGAACATCCCCGGGAATATTCGGGATGTTCCGTACATCTTCTCCCGCCGGCAGAGTTTGTGCGGATGATGTCGCGCTGAGGGCGGCGCGTGCCAACACGGGACCCGAGCCCCCGCCGTGCCTTACGAAGAGGAGGGAGCCGCGGAGGAGACCCCCGCGGTCCCTTGGGAAGGGGGGGGAGCCGCGGGGGAGACGCCCGGCTCCGGCCGCTGTGGCTGGGGCCGTGCCGGTGCGGTGCGACGCCCGAGCC